CAAGCGGCCATCTAGCTCAGAAGCAACAAAGCCCACATGGAAGAAGCACACCAGCCTGTGTGATCACGAGGTGTTGAAGGGATCAGTTATTATTGCTATAGTCTTAATCATAACACAGTGTCTGGCTCATAGAACATATTCAATAAATATAAAATAATCTGACACAAAAACTGAAAACCCAACAGAGCAGTTATAAATCATCACAGATAGCTGTTAAAATAATTTCCCTATCAATGGAGTTAAGAAAAAAAAGAAAATTTCTAAATCTCGCTAAACTTTCTATTGAAAATCACAATTATCCAGAAACAAAACCACATTTTGTTTCTCTAGATCTTTAAGTTGTTAATACGAAATACCCAAGACAGTAAAAACAAACAAAAAAAATCACCAAAATACTTTAAACTAATTTCTTCCTGAAACATTCCCTACATATGCTAACAAAATGAATAGAATGAATCTGGGAACTTCAGATGCCAGGGCTTACACAATAATCACTGTATCTTTGCTGAATGTCTTCTCTTGAACTGGACTGGAGCAATTTGGGGCAACATCTTCACTGTCAGAAGATAAATCAATATACTGTATTCCTCTTTGATTTGTGAAATATGACACACTTGATTTTCTTTCATTTTCTGGAGTCTCTGGAACACTAGAATCTTCTGCAAAAGAAATAAGGTAAAGTACTTTGAGTAATTCAAGAACACAACAAATGAATTTGGTTTTGATGACTGCAATCATTGCTAAAAAATCCTAATTTTATCTACTGTTTTTCCCCCCCTACACCCAGAACTATACCACTTTGTAAAGAAAGAGGTTAATCAGATCTGATATAATTTTCCATTCCAGAGAATGCTTACTAATAAGACCTCAGGAATAACTGCAAAGTAGACAGGTTTGTGTTTTTACATTCTACTCCTTTTCTCTTTTGCTTTTATTTCTTGTACTCAATTCTTATAGAAGAGAACATGGGCTCTAGAGTCCAAAGTACGAGGGGCCAATCCCATCTCTAGGTTATATAATCTCCCCCAAAGATAAATGTCCACTCTTGTAAAATAAAGACATAATAATGGGACTAATATACCCTCACTAGTCTGTGAGTTTCCACATTGCTGTGATGCTTCAAACTTTGTTATTTCAAATAACACCAGGGTCACACAAGGTAAAGAGGTTTCAAAGGGGCTTCTAAATGCAAAACAGATTAGGAAGGAAGAGGGATTAGTCACTGAAAAACATAAATAGGTGAGCACTATCAGACATAGTGCCAGAAAATGAGCCCTTTAGGTTGGAATGCATTCAAAATACAACTGGGAAAGTGCTGCCTCCTCAAAGTAGTAGTACCATATATACTCGAGTATTAGCCGAGGTTTTCTGTACATTTTTTAAAATGCCGTTTTGGGGGGTAAAATTAGGTGCCTTAGCTGATATTCAGGTCAGCTTATACTCGAGTATATATGGTAATAATGATGAGGAGCTGTTGATTCAGCTCTGAATCATAGTGACATGTATGACAGAGCAAAAGACTACTCAGTTCTTTATAATCCTTACAATCGTGGTCATATTTGACTCCACTGCTAGTCGTTATGGCAATCCATCATGTTGAAGGTCTTCCTCTTTTTCACTGTCCTTCTACTTTACCAAGCACTTTGTCCTTTTCAAAAAATTGGTCACTCCTGACACTCCAAAATATGTGAGATGAAATCACACTATCCTTGCTCCTATAGAACATTTTGGTTGTACTTCTTTCAAGAGAAACGTGTTTGTTCTTCTGGCAGTCCGCATACATATACTGCAGATATATTTCACCACAGAACAACTCAAACGTGCCAGCTCTTCTTCAGTCTTCCTTCTCATTGCCCAACTTCCTCATGAATGTGACACAACTGAAAAGATCATGCCTGGGTCAGGTACACCTCAGTCCTCAAAGTTAAATCCTTCTCTTCAAAACTTTACAGAGATCTTAGGAAGCAGATTCAGCCACTGTGTTGTGTTGTGGCTTTTCTGCTGCTAGTATCACAAGCATTGTGTATCCATTAATGGTCCAGTTGTCAGAATTTTATTTTTTTACTCTGAATTGTAATAAACACTGAGAACTGCAATACTTGATCTTCAACAGCAAATGCTTCAAGTGCTCCCTCTTTCAGCAAGCAAGGCTTGTCCTCTGCATATCAAAGGTTGTTAACAAGGTTTCCTCCAGTCCTGAGGCCAGGTTCTTTTCAAGCTTCTCAGCTTAAGTGCTAGGGATACAGAGTGAAAACATACGGCAAAAGGATATAACCATGACATAACCATGACACACCTTTCCTGATTTTAAAGTGACATGTGACACACTTCATTTTCTTTCATTCTCTGGAGTCTTTGGACACACTGAAGTGTTCTGGAGTTCCTAATCTTTTCAATGTTGTTAATAATGTGTTATGATTCACACAATTGCATGCTTTTGCAAAATCAATTAAATATCATTCTGGTCTTCTCTGGTTTCACCCACATCCCATCTGATGTCAGCAATGGGATTTCCTTGCTTCACATCCTCATCTAACGAGTCTGACTTCAGTTATTGGCAGCTCCTTGTGAATGTACCACTACAGCCATTTTAAAAATTACTTTCAATGAGGAGCTGATGCCAGGAGCTTAAGTGGGGAGCAAATGTTTTGCGAATGATAAGGGCAACTCATGTACAAATGTGCTTTACACAATTGATGTATGTATGGATTGTTATGAACTGTATGAGCCCCCATGAAAATGATTAAAAGAAATTACTTCCAGCAAATTCTTACTTGTGGGTGATATTAAAGATGATGTTCAATAGTTTCAACAATCTGTTGAGTCGCCTTCCTTTGGAATGCGTACAAATACAGATCTCTACTTGTTGGCTAGCCAGACAGCTGACTTCCAACTTCTTGGCATAGATGAGTGCTTTCAGTGCCTCATCAGCTTGTTGAAAACTTCAACTGATGCTATGTCAATTGCTGCACTCTTGTTTTTTGCAAATACCTTCAGTGAAACTTAGACTACTTTCTTTAATACCTTTGGTTTATGATCAAATAAAACCTCTTGAAAGGGTTCAATGTCAACTAATTCTTTTTGGCACAGTGACTGTGTATAACTTCCATCTTCCTTTGATGCTTCATGTATGGTTCACTACTTTGCCCATAGGTTCCATCAATATTGCCGCTCAAGTCTTTAATTTTTTCTTTAGTTCTTTCAGCTTGAAATATGCTAAGCATATTCTTACTTTTACTGCATTTTAACTCCAGGTTACAAAGGTACATTACCCTAAACTATGTTGTCTTGAGCTTCCCTTGAGTTTTTTCTGTTCAGCCCTTTTATTCCACCATTTCTTCTATTTGCTTTAAATGCTCTATGTTCTTAATCTTCCATACATTCTTCTTCATCTTTGCTGTCTTCATATACAATGTTCTTGTCATCCCACAGCTCTTCAATGATTAGTGTTCAACATGTCAAATCTATTCTTGAGATATATTCTAGATTCAGGTGGAACTTGCTTAATTTTCAGCCTGACCTCCCACATAAACAATTTAAGGTCTATTCCATAGTCAGCCCCTGATCTAGTTTTAGTTTCTCCATTACCTCTTCTCTGAGGGGTAGTCAACTTAATTTCTGTGCATTCCACTTGGAGAAGTCCATGTCTACAGCCATCAAATGTGTTGTTGAAAAAGAAAAGTACTTGAGTTAAAGAAGTTATTGGTATTCCAAAATTTTATCATGAAACCTCTAGCTTCATCTCTATCATCAAAGCCTATTTTCCAACTATTGTCCCTTCCTGTTTCCAACTTTTGAATTCCAATCATCAATAATTATCAATGCATTGTGAAAGAATGTTTGATCAACTTCTGACTGAAGACAATGATAAAATTATTCAATCAATAGCTTTGTGCAAATTTGAATTAATCATTATTAACTGGGCTTCCTTTTAGGTATATAGATATTACCTTATCATAGACTACATTGTACTTTAAGACAGATCTTGAAAAGTTCTTTTGCATGATGAATACAACAGCATTCCCCTGGAGTGTGTCAGTTTTGGCACAGTAAACTGTAATCATCTGATACAAATGGACAATATCAGTTCATTTCTGCTCACTAATGCAGAATATCACTAGGATATTGAGTTTTGTGTCCCATTTCATTTTTGATGCCTTCCAGTTTTCTTAAATTCATACTTCCCACTACATTCCATGTTCTGAATATTAATAGATGTTTACAAATATTTCTTCTCAAATATTTTTCCCCGGCAGTAAATGAAGGACCTTAAAGTTTTATCCTTGTCATGATGGCTAACTCAGCTTTGAAAAGGTCTTCCTCAGTAATATTTTAAGTGTCTGCCAACTTGAGAAGTTCATCTTCCAGTGCTAAAGCTAACAATGACTTTAATGAAATGGACAGAGAAAAACTTTGGGGACTGTTAACTTGATGAGACGCATGACTTAAAATGGGACGACATGGGTGCACAATCCATTAAGAATCAGAACAAGGACTATACAATATCTGAATCTCTTAAAAAATCAGAAGTTGTCAAAAATGAAATGGTTCACATAAAGATCAATATCCTATGCATTACCCTCCAAAACTGATTTTCATCCAAATACCTCATACTCATACTGACCCTATATAAAGTTTCTGAGAATGTAAATCTTTATGGGAGCAGATAGCCTCATATTTTTCGGTCAGAGCAGCTGGTGGGATTGGCCTGCTGGCCTTCTAGCTAGCAGTGCAATGCGTATCACACCGCACCACCACGACGGCTGATAAATGTCTTTAGTGAGCTTAAAGGGACAGACTGGTAATGGCCACATTGAGTCAGACAATCATGTGATCTACACTGTTAGGACTAATAAATTCAAGAGGAACAGTGTCACATTCATCAACAAAAAGAACCTTTCTTGAAGTTCTTTTTAAAATTTATTTAAATATAATGCAGCATACACAGGGAAACCCAATTAATGTAACTATTTTTCAAATTTACACATCAACTATTAAAGTCAGTGAAGAAATTGAAGAATTCTATCAACTTCTTCAGTCTGAAATTGATCAAGCATGCAGTCAAGATGCATTAATAAATAGTGGAGATTAGGATGCAAAAGTTGGAAACAAATAGAAACGAATAATAGAAATATATGTATTTTACGATAGAAGCAAGTCTGGGGATGACATGATAGAATTTTGCAAGATCAGTGAGTTATTCATTGCAAATGTTTTCAACAACATAATTAATGACTATACAAGTGAACTTTGTTAGGAAAAATACTCAAAAATTAAATTGATTCTATTTATGGGAAACTACAACAGAAAAGCTCGATATCACCAGCCTAAAGGAAGGCCAGGGATGACTGTGGACCAGCCTATCAATTGCTTATATTCAAGTTCTAAGTTGAAGCTGAACAAAATGAAACAAGAATAAAAACCAGTCCAAATTAGTCAAAATATGATGATGAATACAGCCCCGCTCCATTTACAAAACATCAAGAACATATTTGAGGCACTGAACACTAATGATGGAAGGGCTGTGGGACAACATCAAGAACAAAACATAAGAGAAAAAAAAAAAGAAAAGAAGAACAAAACATAAGAAGGAAGCCAAAGTGGTTATCAGAAGAGACTTTGAAACCTGCTCTTAAACGCAGAGTACCTATAGCAAGTG